ATGAGTTCCTTCCAACGTAAATCATTCCATGATTCTATGATTTTATTGGTTTCTATGGCAAAGTCTAGTCAGAGAACTTAATGTTTGAAGAACTGAGCCAGTTTTCCCCCCAAAATCACAGAGCGGGAGAATAGACATAAATGTTGGTCCAGTTCCTCCTGAACTGGATAAGGTTATTTGACAGCAATATTTGTGTTAAGGAATCCACAATAAGAGATTTTTTTGGATATCACACAATGGGAGTAACACTTTGGCACAGAGGCTAATATTGCCTCAGTCAAAAACTGGAGGGACCTCCTGTGCTATGTCACCTCGATCAAAGCTCAACAGAAAGCACAGAGCAAAGCAAGAACTATTTTGGGAAAAACCTTCTGATCTGTGATCAGCTAGCAAAGATGGATCAGACCTGGAAGGAACCAGTAAATGATCAAACCACGGATGGAGTTCAAATTCCCACCAAGCTTCTCTTACAGCCTGTTAAAACATGTTCACCCTCAAGTCCCTAAACCCACAAGAAGAAAAGATAACCACAAAATTCAGGGATTAGCATGTTTCTTCCTGCCCTTTCAGCTCTATAAATTGGTCCCTTGAATCCCTGGCAGGATCAGGAAGAAAAATGCCGATTTTTGTGATAGTCTGAATTTTTCTTTAAAGGGAAAAACCTCTTTGACTGAGCTGTTGCCAAACAGAACCATTTCCAGGAGAATCATTCTACAGCATGAAGCTTTGAGGATTTGCACTGTAGAAATTCCCTGTGCCAGTGCTGCTTGGGCTAAACTGACCAAATATTTATCCAGAGGGGAATACACCCATTTCTGCTCTCTGCCTCCTCCTCCTAGAAGGATGTTTCAGTCTGGGAGAGTGATTTCTCAGTGCTGTTACTTGGCATTTCCACAAAATATTTTGTATTTTTGTAGTTATCATGAAGATACTGACAGGCACCTCATGAGGGCAGCATGTCCTTTCCATTAGACCCTTGTTTTCTTACAGATTGAATAAAAAAAACCTGTGTAAACTCTACAAATGGCATTATGCTGCTTATGCTGCTTTAATTAACAAGGAGCTCGAAGCAGGCTTAGTGACATCCCACCCCTCATAGAAAATATTGCTGCTCTGCTTCACAGAGAGGGAAAAAGCAGATCAGTAAGCCCATAAAATCATAAAGGCTGGAAAATATGCCAGAGATCATCAAGCCCAACTCTTCCCCAGCACTGCTAAGGCCACCATTAACCATCTCTCCAAGTGCCACCTCCACACAGCTGTTAAATTCCTCCAGGGATAATAATGCCACCACTGCACTGGGCAGCCTGTGACAATGCCTGACCACCCTTTCAGTGAAGAAACATTTCCTAATATCCAATCTAAACCTTCCCTGGTGCAATTTGAGGCTGTTTCCTTTCATCCTGTCCCTTGTTCCCTGGGAGCAGAGCCTGACCCCCACCTGGTTGCACCTCTTTATGGAGAGCAATAAGGTCCTCCTGACCATCCTTTTCTCCAGGCTGAGCCCCCACAGCTCCCTCAGCCCCTCCTCATCAAGCTTGTCCTCCAGACCCTTCCCCAGCTCTGTTCCCTTCACTAGCCACACACTGTGCTCATGTTTTCATGGCACATGGCATGTGACACTGTCCCAGCAACACTTAGCAAGGCCATAGAATCATAGAATCGTTGTGGTTGGAACAGTCCTCTAAGATCATCAAATCTCCAGCACTGCCAAGGCCACCACTACACTATGTCTCCAAGAGTCATATGCACAAACCTTTTGAGCACTTCCCTGGGCAGTCTATTCCAGTGTCTATCATCACTGAGTCAGAGGTAGTAACTGTAACACCTATTAGTGGCATTCACAGGCTCTCAGAATTACAGACTGGTTTGGGTTGGAAAGGACCTTAGAGATTATCTTGTTCCACACCCTTCCACGAGACCAGGTTGCTTCAAACCCTGTCCAATCTGGCCTAGAACACTGCCAAGGATGGGGCAGCCACAGTGGTTCTGAACAACCTGTGCCAGTGCCTCACCACCCTCACAGCCAATCAATCCTTCCCAATATCCCATCTAGCCCTGCCCTCTGGCAGTGGGAAGCCATTCCCCCTCATCCTGTCCCCCCAGACCCTTGTCCAAAGTGCTTTCTTGGAGCCCCTTTAGACACTGGCAAAGGCTCTAAGGTCGCCCTGGAGCCTTCTCTTCTCCAGGCTGAACACCCCCAGCCCTCCCAGCCTGTCTGCAGAGCAGGAGGTGCTCCAGCCCCTGGAGCATCTCTGTGGCCTCCACCTAAAATTTGCAAGAGAAGGGAAAACCAACTGTAGAAATGCATCTTGGAAGGACTTATCTGTTCATTAACTCAGCTCAAGCGGGTGGTTGGAACTTGTATGAGACATCCTGGGCTCATACATTGGGCAAGAGCTGAGACTAGGGAAAAATTCCCTTTTCATAGACCCTCCAAAGGGCCAATATTCAGTGTCATCTCACCTTAGACTCCCAGGACTTCCAGCACAGCCAAGAGTTTTGGACAGAGCTGCTCTGACCTTACAGTATGGACAATCACAGGATATGCCTTAGCAGAGTCCTTTGCAGGAACAGAGCCTTAGTTGAGATTGTTGAGATTACCCCTCATCTGCTTGAGGGGGATTTGCAATCTGTGGCTGTGCTTTGATATCAAATTTGATAATTGAAAATCCTGCTTGAAAAAAGAACCAACCTCCTCCAGTGTGTGCCAAGGGTGATTTGTCACAAACAGTTCGAAGTAGCTTGGGCAGAGCATTCATGGCGTTTCCTGCAGTGCATTTCTAGAGAAGTCACTGGAAACTCCAACCTTAATGTGTGCTAGCAGAAAACAGAGATCCAAATCAATCCTACTCAGGGTGAGGAAAAGGGGAAGAAGCAAAACCACCAAGTTTATCTTCCTGAGCAGGAGGCTTTCAAACTCCCTTGGCCAAGCCTGAAAAGGGCAAAGAGTAAGTTTGGCTTTCACCTGGAAGAGCAGTTTGAGGCCGTAGAAGTCAGCCAGCACTGATGGAGCACTTCCATGGCTCCCAGGCCAGTCCCAGCCCAAGCACAACAGGTCAAAACCTCTCCTGTTACTAGAAGAGCCCACATGAACGTTACAGCACAGTGAGCTATTTCTGGAGCACTTTGCACCACCAGTACTAAAAGGCTCTGACAAGAATAACGACACAACAGTTTGAGTTTGAAGGGACCTTAAAGCTCACCTTGTTCCAGCCCCCTGCCATGGGGAGGCCTTGTACCAACCCAGGTTGCTCCAATCCCTGTCCAACATGTCCTTGAACACTTCCAGGAGTGAGGCAGCCACAGCTTCTCTGGGCAACCTGTGCCAGTGTCTCACCACTCTCGCAGGAAATCATTTCTTCTTAACATCTCATCTAAATCTCTCCCCTATTTAGTTTAAAACTTTCCCCTCTCATTCTATCACTATTCCCTGTGTAAAAAGTCACTCTTTTCTATAAATCCCCTTTTAAGCACTGAGAGGGGCTGGAAGGATTTCCTCAGCAAAGGACTAGGGATGCAATCCAGCTCATCGTGTGCCAGGCAGCAACAAAACCCAAAGTAATTTCTTAGAAGGAGCAATAGGGCATGTATTCTGTAAAGGTCCATAGATGGAAGCTGCCTTAGGTCCTTGTACCCTCACAGGCAAAACCCACCCTTAAATCACAAAGATTTGCTTAAACAATCCCAAGTGTCCCATGCAGAGACAGTGCAGATGGTAAAACAGAATCATTAACATTGGGAAAGACTTTTAGGATCAAGTCCAACCATTAATGTAACTGCCACATCCCCAAGCACATCTACAGATTTTTGAACACTTCAAGACTGTGATTCCACTGTGAGTCTATTTTGGGACAGATCAACACTTCCCCCCCACCCCAACAAAAACCAAGGCAAAGCTGCAATCACCCAAAACATCGCTGTAACACAACCCCAACCACACACCACTATGACACCAAAGGAACCAAATCAACCCACTCTTTTTGCCCAAGTTTATTTCTAGAAATTTGTACAAAAATTGATACTCCATAATACAATAATCTATCAAATATGACAGATGAACATTTGTCTTTAGAGGCAAGATTCCAGGAATGTGAAGTACCATCCTCTTGCATGGAAAGAAAGGCACATTTTGGAGCTCAAGATCCACTCAGCTGAAGGGTTGAAAAGGCAGGTCAGACATGCAAGTAGTGCAATGTTTCAGGTTTATACAGAAATGCATTGTACTCTGAAGGAAATCTCACTACAAGCAGTGTTAATATCCAAGTAAACAGTTTAGAAACACTTTTAAAAGCCACTCACTTTAGATCCTATGTGGGAAATACTCCTTTACATTCACTGGACGGAATAGTTAAAAGCCATCTTTGGACAGAAGTTACTCCTAAGCTTTCCCCAAATATTTTTGGGATCCAAAACATTTGCATGAATAGTCCCACTGCAGTTACCTCCTATAGGCTACCCTACTGGTCTGCAACATATGACTGCACCATCCCACTGCTCCTAGAGCTTATCCTTGGAGTTTTGTGGCTAGGGAGGAGTCCTATATTTCCAGGCCTCTGTGCAAGCAGCACCTGGGACAGACCTGCTTCTAAAACACAGTGGTGAAGTTATGCCATGGATTGAGGTCCACCAGACTCTTCTCCTTTGTCTCCTGCACCATCCACCACAGGTGCCACACTAAAAGGGTTAACAGCCCAACTGTGCTTCCAGAAAGGGCTTCTCCAACGCAGGAATTCCCTTCTGCTACATAAACATGACTCAACATGGCTCTTGTGCAACACATCTGTAATACTGCCATGGCAGGCAAAGCAACCTGCTACTTTTTAGCTTGAAAACCAGATGGATCCTACTCTCCCCAAATAGCTAGTGGGTACAGTAGCTATAGGAATGTTTCTAATCCATTGCTGGTGATCCAACAGAATTTTATAGCAGATTACAAAGGCAATCATTTCCCCCATCCAAATCCTCACAGCAATGGGGAGTTGTGCTTTTTTCTTTTTTATAAAAAATTGTTTGTAATAGGATTTATCTAAAGTAAAGCCTTTCTTTATTAAAGTGGTCTAGCAATACTTCCTTTGAAAGACACATACATCCACACATGCTTTCAAGTACATGATGACAGCTTGGACTCCTGGAGAAGATGTGTTGGTTCTGAGAGGAGGTGCTGCTGAGCCTTCAGTTGACTTCCAAGACCTCAGTCTCTGGCAGGCCAAATTTGCTCTTATATTTGTCAAACAGTTTGATCAGGGAGTCCACATATAAGCTATGGTAGAAGTCCACTTCCTCCTGAGATGGGTTCTCAATTTTGGGGATGGTGATGGGCTCTCCAACTGAGGAAAAGAGGGGAAAAATCCACGTTAGGTTGAATGCTCCTGTACAGCCTGGAGATTTATTCTCTATGGCCACAGCACAGCTTGTCATTATAGCAGAGATTTGCCTCATTCCTCCCAGTTTTACCAGGCTCTGAAACACAACTGTCCCAGTACTAGGACCCTCATGCAACAATACCCCAGCTACCCAAACGCAACAGTGTAGAGCCTGTACTGTACAAGGTGGTTGGGAAGTCCCACTTGCTTCTGCTTACAGCAGACGGATAAATTGCTCCTCAATTAACAGGAACCACAAGTCAGTTCTTGTGTATTCCCCTACACACACCACAAAAGCAGAGCTGACCATTTCCCCCTTCCCTCAAGGCCTTGTGGATGTGGGTTGGAAGACTCAGACACCAATTTTAGGCTGGATTTAAGATTCAGCTATCAGAGGGCATCCCATTGCCAGTCCTAGGAGTGTGGCGAGGATCAGGCTGCTTCTGACCTCAGCTGTCCAAGGCCAGAGAACATAGCAGCTACAGCTTTTTTTCCCTCCCCAGAAAAAGAGCTCACTTACAAACCTATCTGGAAGCAGAACATGATGGAAGGCTTATAGCCTCTAGAAACTCTTCTAGCTCATTCTCAGCAGTGCTGGAAGGTTTCATATAGAAGGAAAAGTAGTTATTGACCAAAGCACAATGGGGTATGGCGTAGACTCAAGTATGTTGCTACCTAGAGAGGCACATCACACACTTATACCAAAACCTTACCAACAGTAGTGATGGGCTTGGAGTAAGGTACCAATCCCCAGGTGTTAGAGGAGAAGAAACCACGGCCATGAAAGATGCATGGAGCAAAGCCAATGTGCTTCTGAAACTTCTTCTGAACCCATCTTCCCCAGGAACCTTCCTCAAAAATCACCTGCTTATACACTTCATTCTCTCCAAAGGAGTAGACAGGAACCAAGTCCGCTCTGGAAAGAGGGAAAGATGTTAGGATCTCATCCTCCTGGTCTGTGGGCCATACTACAGCACCAACACTCACTGCTGTGTGCTGTACAGTTGCTGATATTATTGCCCAGAACACTTTTTGCAGCACAAGGTACTGACAGAAGTCAGCCAGACTTCACATTTTTTACTGTGAGTGTGGTGAGACACTGGCACAGGTTGCCCAGGGAGGTTGTGGCTGCCCCAATCCTGGCAGCATTTAAAGCCAGGTTGGATAAAGCCTTGAGCAACCTGCTCTGCTGGGAGGTGTCCCTGCCCAGGACTAGATGATCTCTAAGGTTCATTTCAACCCCTTAACATACCATGTTACATGACAAAGTAGATACACTTTTCAGACATACAAGAGAATTGTCCTGGCTATAGGCCCATGGATCACTGTGCAGTCAGGCATTGGCTATGCTTCCATATATCCTCAACTCCTATTTTTGATGGACATCTCATTTCAGGCACATAGGGAGCACAGGTGATGCCCCAAGCAGGTTCCTGACACCTGCTTCTCCTTGCCCTGGAAGCCTCCTGCTGTTCCAGGGATCCCCTACCCTTGTTCTCTCCCTGCTCAGGGTCAGACGTCAGAGAACATTCATGTGTCTGATGCTCTGGGCAAACACCCACACAACAGGACTGCAGAAAGGAGAATCCCTCCAAGGGTATTAGCTGCTTCAAGGGACAGAATCAGAATGGTTTGGGTTGGAAGGGACATTTAAAGTCCAACTACTAGTCCAACTCCTCTGCACTGAGCAGGGACATCTTCACTTAGACCCAGGTTGCTGAGATAAAAGCATCTCCCCCACATGGTTGCAGTACTGCTGTAGCATGGAGGTTGGACCTTACCCATGCCTCAGTGCCAGTTTGACAAATCCCTTCCTGTTTTTCAGTGTCACAGCGCTCTTCCCTGGGGTGCTGTTCAGGGACTCTGCTGCCCCTCCCACCACGATGATGATGGCATTGCCGCTGCCATTCTTGGACAAGATGTAGTCTATGCTGTCACGGTTGACAGGACATATACCTGCAGATCAAGGAGAAAACACAAGGGTCAAGCTGCAAGACTGATATGATTCTCAAGTCACCAGCCATAGTAGCATAAGTTGTGCCTTGATTCCAAGTTGAGTTGTCCAACTTCCCTGTGGCCATAAGGGTTGTGTGTTCTACCAGGCAATCTATTCCTCAACTAAAGAAGCAGTTCACAGACCTGGACTGGGTCAAACTCTACTAGACTTGGTCATAAACTCTACCAATGCCAGCTCTCAACACAATTTCCTCATTGAAAAACTTCAAGGATTTATTTTGCACTTGGTGATGCCAAAGGTGTTTGTGTCACATCCTCCCTCCAGGTAAATGTTGCACCAGGAGATGGTTTGCCTCTTTCCTCCCGGAAAGCAAAGCAGCTGTGATCATTTGATGGATAAGAGTCGAAATTTTACCAATTCTTCAGCAAAATTAACTAGTGGCATGGGTTGTCCTTTGGGAGAATGCTTTAGTGATACAAAAAGGACAGACAAACCTTTGAGACAGGGAGCTAATTTTAAAAACAATTTATTTTTCTGAAATAACACGAAGCTGTTGCATGGCAAGAATCGAATCCTTTGCTATCCTGGGAAGAAATAGCAAAGGGACAAAGAGCTTAGGTAAGTCCATACTCCGAGACAAGGCTCTGGAAAGGTCTTTCCCTCATTCCTGCACTGGAAGGGACAGGACTTCCTTTCAGCTTTACGAAGCAATCCCTGCCCTAAAGCACGCAATGAGGGTAGCTAATTTTTACTGTATTGCACTAAAATTGATAAGAAATTTGATTCTCTGCTCTTTAAACTTGTGCTTTTATCCTACAGCTGTTGTCAGGCCTTGCTCCTGCCTCATATTTCTGGCCATGAGAAGCCAAGAAGTAGTGAGATGCCATCATTTACATTCCCAGCCACACAACACATCTGACCTGAGTACTTAAGGTCATTGTCCTAGGAAGGGCAGCATTACACTAATTTTAGAAGCTGATTTTGCACCTCCTGTAGTATTCATTACTTGAACCAAGAACTAAATGATGAATGGGCCTTGAGGCCTTAGGGCAAGCCTCAAGCCTTCATGTCTATCTGGGCATCAGGTCACCACCTATCCCAGCTCCAGGCAAGAGGGAACCAGAGCGTAAGACAGATCAGGTGGATTTGAAGATGAACAACCCATTTCTTTCAGCACAGCTACATCTAATTATGTTTGCTTTGCAAGGCTCAGGCTGTGCACACTGCTCTGTCCTTTAGCCTTCTCCACACCAAGGCTCACACCGACTACACCAGGCAGCAGAGCCATTTCACAGTTCTTAGCAGGAGGAGATCACTCCTGCTCACAGCACTGAGCACCCAAATCCTTCCTTCAGAAAATGCAATGAGACAGAAAGAAGTAGCAACTGCTAATTCTGCTCAGCATATTCAGGGTATATAGGATTTTATGGTCCTGTCCTCATGCCTTACAGGATTACTGATATACCTTAACCTCTAGTAAGCTATAAAATACTGTAATAACTGTTAATAGTTGTAAAACAACTGTGTATGTTGGTACAGTGTTAGGATTTCACCTGAAGTGGTTCAGTCACAAAACAAAGGCTTGAGGGAATTACCAGCACTTCCCAAACGATGTTAATCCCCTTGTAACAACATCCTTAAACCCTAGCAAAGCGGAGTCAAATTATGGCTTTCAGAAAGTTCACTTTGCCACACTTTTAGTCTTGCTTAAATCTTAAGTACAGACGAAGCAGAATTTCCCACTGGTTTAACCACAACGTTCAGGGACAGCCAAGCCAGCAGTGATAAGCCTAATATCTACTCCCACCTTCCTTCCAAAAAGAGAGAAGCAGCCACAAGATTTGTCTGCCGGTCACAGTGAGTAGACTGTAGATAGGTTTTAAAAGACAGAAAGGCCAATGCTGCATGCAAACTTAAGCAACACAGCACTAAGTTCACAGACATGACAGCTATGGTTACTCCACATTTTCAGGCAGTGCAACATCTTCCAGTAGCTTCTAATGGTAACTAGGGCAACTTTATTCCATTTCTCCACCTTCCACAACTACAGATATCTTTACTATGCCTTTGGACAAGAGTATCCTTGAGTTAAGGATGAACACAGAAGAGTGGTAAGACACTGACACAGGTTGCCCAGGGAGGCTGTGGCTGCCCAAGTCTGGCAATGTCCACAGCCAGGTTGCATGGGGCCTTGAGCAACCTGGTCTGGTGGGAGGTGTCCCTGCCCATGGGACTAGATGACCTTTAAGGTCCATTCCAACCCCTTCACACCACAATTCTATGAATGACAGTTCCTGCAGTCCAAACTAATCAAATTCATAGAATCACAGTCTGGTTTGGGTTGGATAGGACCTTCAAGATAATGCAGTTCCAGCCTCTCTTCAATGGGCAGAGACACCTTCCATCAGACCAGATTTCTCATATTTATTCACAGCTTTCTCTTGACAACTAAATAAAAGCAACATTTGGGTAATGCTACCAAAGGGAAATGGTTACATGGGCTTCTAACACAGCTTCAAAGAGGTGGAGACAGCTCAGAAGCAAGAGCATGAGCAGAAGGAACACATTGTGCTTGTGCTTACCACCAGACATTAAGTAGTCCCTCAAGATGGGCATCCTGAAGTTCCCAGCTAGGGTAGCAAGGTATGGTCTGATCCCAGGGAATTTCTGGCTGACACCTGTGGCCTCTGTGCTGAAGTTACAAAAGGCACCCAAGCCCATGATGCCATGTGGATGGTACCCAAAAATGTAATTCCTGGTGGTCAGCAGGTTGTGGGTTTTAACCAGCTAGGAAAGAAAAAGAGAACTCAGATCAAGATGGATGTTTTCAGGTAATGAATAAAAATGGCAGAAGAAAAAAGTCAAATCCCACAGGTTTCGTGTCTCTTCTCACCAGGAAGAACAGCCTAAGAGCTGGGGCATGATTATGCTGGATTTCAGAGGCTCTGGCAAGAGCAGCCACTTAAGTGTTCAGTTTGCCAAGCAGAGGAAGCAGAACAGGCTGCTTTCAGACACAAGAAGCCTGAGTAGGGCTTGGGTTGTACAGCCTGTGTTCTCTACTCCTCCCTAAGGTATTATTGCACACCTCTCACCCAAACCAACCAAGTTCTTCACAGCCCTTTAGCCACAGCTACGCCTCCTCCCAGGCCCTCTCTCAGTACATTAGTGGCTCAAATCCCAGTCTAAGGGGAGAAAACATAAAAATCAGTGTCATAACAGCAGCAAGTTTGCTTAATACCTCAAAAAACAGATCCAACCACTTAATGTGCCTGTTGGCCACCTTCCAAGTGGGAAAAATGTGCAGAAGGGTGGTTTAGCACTGGAAACCAGCCCTCTTTTCAAGAGGTTTTACTCTGGCCTACATGCCAAGACACCTCAAGCCATGCACAGTCAAGCTCTGATTGCTTCAGGACATGCTCCAGGAGTCAGGATCATACTGGTTTGGGGTTATGTAATATTCCTAACCATTTGTTTCTCAGTTTGCACAGCATGGATGCTCCAAAGCTGTCTTGGCCAGCACAGCACAACCCATGCCATGGTACCACTACTGCCAGAGGATTTTTTTGTGATGCTATATATATGTAGCAGCAGTGTCCCATGCATGAGAGCATCTTCCCCTGGCAGTACACACGTGGTCTGAGGAAGCACAAACAGAGCTGCTGCATCATCCCATAAAAGCAGGGATCAAATTTAAGATTTTTCCATATCATAGAATAGCTTGTATTGTAAGGGACCTTAAAACTCATCCAGTCCCAACCCCCTGCCATGGGCAGGGACACCTCCCACCAGACCAGGTTGCCCAAGGCCTCATCCAACCTGGCTTGAACACACTGCCAGGGTTGGGGCAGCCACAGCTCCTCTGGGCAACCTGTGCCAGTGTCTCACCACCCTCACAGTAAAAAATTTCTTCCTAAATCTAACCCAAACCTCTCCTCTTTCCAGGCTGCAACAGTGCCAGTTTGTGCCAATTACAATCCCTCAGGAGCTCCAAGTTGCACCTTCAGCATGAGGTGTTACAGAACTGCACCCTCAAGTGTATTTGCAAAGGCCACTCTGTCAGCTTCTACAGAGAAGAACCTCAGATTTCTAAGATATCAGTATTATCTACTGCCTTGGTCAAGAAGTGCTTAGCTTGTTCTGTTGAATCAAAGTGCCATTGCGACATAGTGTGCCCAGAAACTTGATTCCCTCCTCCCCCTGTTCCCAGCGCTGTCCCTACAGGAGGCTACAGCCCCTGTGCTATTTACAGCAGCTGTGGCACAGGCATGACACAGCAGCAGGTTCAGCAAGTTGACTCCACACTTTGCTCTGGATTTGAGGTCACAGAACTCCAGGAAGAGAACACAGAGGCCTGTGATTGCAACAGCTTTTTAGAGCTCTGTTGCCTATATCACATCAAGTCATCCTTTCTGCCCCTTTCCCTTCTTTCCCAATTAGTAGGTGACTTGGCTTTCACTCCCCAGGGTGAGAGGGCTGTCCCTTGATCACTTAGGACAAACAGGGATCACAGGCTACAGACTAAAACCACTCTCCAAGAAAAACTGGAGGCAAAAAGCCATGCTGTGTTAAGCAACCCCTCCATCTGTCAGCTCTTGCTCAGTTATAGGAGAGACTTCTAGAACAGGCTGCCCAGGGCAGTGGTGGATTCACCATCCTTGCAGGGATTTAAAAGCCACATGGATGTGGCACCTGGGGACATGGGTTAGTGGGGGACTTGGCAGCACTGGGGGAACAGCTGGACATGATGACCTTAGAGGGCTTTTCCAACCTAAACAGTTCTCTGATTTCACTGACTCCGAGCCTGGTGACTCCAGACACACATGGCTTGGCTGGACTAGTGGCAGACACTCCTCCTCAAAACTCCTGTCAGAGTAGGGTGGTGGTTTCCAGGCTTCATCTTTCACCTGCACCAAGTACAGCTCCTTTAAAAGGAAGGAAAGTGCAACAGGGGGCTTGTCCTTGCCACTCTGGAGCACGAGCCATCTGCATGCTGAGCTTGGCAGAGCCACACATCTCTCATACAGGACACATGCTGTCCTGCTCCAGCCTTTGCACCACGTGCAAGGACATCCAGATCCCACTGGACCCCATTGCTTGGATACCTCATATGAGCCCCAGCCAAGCTGCAGCCTTGTCACTGTTTGCTTTCCAAGAGCTCCTGTTATGGAGATGTAAGGTTGGCAATGCCCATCACAACCACCCACACCACTGAAGAAGGGCAAGGGGTATGCAGGGAACCAACTCACCGGTGGCAAGACAGAAGGGGAACCAAATCAGTGGGAATCAAATGCTCTCAACAGGGATTTACAGGTCTGGGAATCAGCCTGGTATTCACAGACATGTGCTGTCCCTCAGTTTGTCCCATCCAGGCTGTCACTGCCCCCCACACCTGTCCCACAACACAAGGTGAACACAGAGGATGAAGCCAGGTGGGTGTTGGTCTTTTCTCCCAGGTAAGAAGTGACAGGACAAGAAAAAACAGCCTCAGGGGAAATTTAGATTAGGTATCAAGGGAAAATTCTTTCCCAAAAGGATTATCAAACACTAGAACAGCAGGACTTGATTTTAGAGATCTTTCCCAACCTTAGTGATTCTATGTCTTCCTCCACCCAAGTCAAGCCAGGGCAACCTAAGGCCACCAGACAGGTTTGTGCACTTCTCTGCAAGTAGTACAGGTCTTTGATCTGCTAAGGCACAAACTCAGCCCAGGGAGGATCTGACCTGCCAACATCAAAGACAGAGCCTTCCTCTCTCCCTAAATTTAATCTAGAAGTAGAAATTTTCAAGTGCTGTAATCACTTATTTCTAGCCTCAAGCAAGACTGAAGATGTCCCTGCCCATGGCAGGGGGGTTGGAACTAGAGTGCCTTTAAAGGTCCCTTCCAACCCAAATCATTCCACGATTCCATGACTGAAGCTTTCTTCAGGAGGCTGATCATTCTCTGCTAGTTTCCTTGCACCTTTCCCCTTGACAAGCAAACACTGAGTTGCCCTAAGGAATTGCTGTAGCTGTCATTCGACAACACTACTGTAACTCTGTTCTGAACCTCCAACAGGCTTTTCCTTTCACTTTCCAGGTCTTCTCCATTCCCATACAGCTCTTTGGAGCCTCAGTGCTCCCCCAGTGAGGTAGTCAGCATGTCCCTGCTGCATCCCAGCTGGATGATTAGTGCTGGGAGTAAAGTTGGACCTTCACTCCACTGCACTAACAGTCTGTTCCCTGCTGCTGCATGAGCCCAAACCTGTTTCTCTGGGGGCAAAGGTCCATCCAGCTGTGTAATAACACATTTCTTTACACAGACCTAACCCTGCCTTTAGAGAAGCAATAAACCAGTGAAGTGTAAAAAAAGTGTAGTGTTAAGAACTGTATTGCCAATTTTATTTGTGGGAACAGGATGAGCAAGTGGCACACTTGCTTCAGGACCTGAAGACCCCTCCAGGCTCCCAGTATTATATACTACATCACACATGGAATCACAGAATGGTTTGGGTTGGAAGAGAACTTAAAGACTCATTCCAAACCCCTGCTATGGGCAGGGATACCTTCCACTAAACCAGCTTATGACATAGGTACCAAACCCCTCCAGTTCCATTCTGTAACCCATGTACAATTAAGGAGGAGCTATGCCAGGAAGTCAGCTAAGCCACAGAGTACAAGACAAACACTGCAAAAAGACACTTCTGGCAGCCATATCTGGTCTGCCCAGTGAAAAGCTTTCCCTGCAAACACCTGAAGTGCTCCCAGCCTGACAAAGCTGAGCCAAAGGCCTGAGACTTTGCTGTCTGGAGTGCTATTGTCCATGGACATCAAGAGCAGTTGTGTTCACATGCTCAGGTGACAGCTTCTTTACCTAAACAAGACCTTTAAACTCATGGCACCCCCAGCATGAGTTCCTCAGAGCAGCAGATGTGCTCCAGAGGCTGCTGGGATCTGACTGCTTGTCCAGCACCACATTCACACCTGCAAGAGCATCACCTGTCACTTCACCTCACTGGAAGCTTCCTCAGCTGCCTCCATGCACTGCTTAGCTTAAAGCACTGTTTGCAAAGCCAAACACTAAGCAGCAGACAAACTTAAGCTTCTAGTGCCCTAAAATAGCTTAGTCCTGTCAGAGCAGCTGTGTGAAGCCCCTGTGAATGTGGCCAACCACTGCTCATGCTGAGTAACTGATTCAGGCTGCTTTCCAAATCCACCTGGTCTTACAAAACATGACCTGGTATCTCCATCAGGTCCTCCTGGGGTCTCACGCCAGGACGCACTGCTGACTTGGGTGAGATCACCGCAAACAGAGTAGAGCCTGATTCTCATGCAGCTGCTCTGTTACAGCAAGCCAAGGAGGAAGAAGTTATTCCCTGTGAGGGTGGTGAGGCACTGTTACAGGCTGCCCAGAGAAGCTGTGGCTGTTCCATACCTGAAAGTGTTCAAAGGCCAGGTTGAATGGGGCTTGGAGCCCCATGGCAGGTGTTCCTGCCCATAGCAGGGTGGTTAGAATGAGATGATCTTTAAGGTCTCTTGCAACCCAAACTGTCCTATGATTCTATGAGTTAAATCTGAGCTAATAACCCACTGCAGGTGGTACCTGTGCTGAAGTGGATGCAGCCAGCACAGTTCTATGTGCAAACCCTGCAGAAGCTGAGTTTAACATTTTAAGTGCCACCAATGAGACTGTCCCTGGTGTGATGTGCCCTCACAGTGCTCAGTGGACACATGGCACAGGATGAGGTGCAGCAGATGACTGCCCCAACAAACCACCAGCCAGGGAGGCAAACCAAGCCCTGCTGAGCTTACAGAGATCAGGATCCAAGTGAGTTTTGCAGCAAGATTTAAACAGTGACCCTCTCTACAGCAGTCTCCCTCTTGACCAAGGGCAGGTAAATAGTCTATCCAAGGACTTCCCATGCTCTTGGCAAATTCAAGCCCAAGACATTCTGGTCCTTGGCACCACTCCTTACAAGAGATAATATTCACTGTTTCATCCTGTAAGATAAGTCCCCCAAGTGCAGAAAAACACCTCACTGCCCTAAGATCTCTGGAGCAGCTTTGAACCACCTTGCAGCCAGCTGGCTGTGCACCCAAAGCAGGTGCAGGAGTCATCCCCCAACTGTCAGCCCTCATGTTCTGTCCTTGGCATATCATTTACCACTGGGCTCTGTAAACCTTGCACAACTCTACCCCCCCAGTGACAAAGGAATTACAACCACAAGTGGTTCTCACAATGGACTGTGTGACCTAACACCAGCTGATAAATTCAGTTTATCTGCCCAATCTCATCTATACATGTACTTTAAAAACCCAACTTGACAAACTTTTAATATCCACAGTGGATCTGACCTGCAGGACTTGTGTGGAGCACATTTTCATGAAGACAGGGATAAATATGCCATCAAAAGAGTGGTAAAACCAAACCAGCATTACTGGTGACCCTTTGGAATCAAGTCCCCAGGAGAACTGAGTCCATTTTAGTCTTCATATCAAGGCAGTAGGGTTTTCTCTAGTCTTGAGGACTTGGTAATAGAAGACAACACATCTGAGACCCATCTTGAACAGTTCAGGTCTCCATTAGCTCCTAGGTTGACTTGCAGCATGTGCAGGAGCAGTGAATTTTTCCATGTACACCTAAACTTGCCAAGAATTACCTGTTAACAGCAGCAAGTTTCATGGTGGACTTGGCAGTGCTGAGTTAATGGTTGGACTTGCTCTTAGAGGTCTTTTCCAACCTAAATGATTCTGTGTTTCTAAGAGTACAACAAGAGGTTTGTTCACCAGCAGCACATTAAGGCACCCTGAGAGTTCAGGTGACTTTGCAAAGGAGGAATCCAGTCTAAGCTGCCTTGGCATACTGCTGGAATTGGATTCCCTATTGCTTTCTGAGGCTGGACTACCTTGGGGATAGGTAGCTCAAAAGCCAATGAGGTCCCTCCCTCACACTCAAGCTGAATAAAACTTGCCAACAGCCTTACATAATAGCCCTTTCAGCTGTGTGCCCTTCCAAAGAGGATCGCGTTCCCTCCTAGCCGAATTTGACCCCTGCTCCCTTCCAAGTCCTTCAGCTAATTCTGCAGTCCCAGAGCAGCCTGGCAGCTGTCCTCTGTCTGCAACATATCTGAACCAGCAGGAAAAATACAAGCATGTGGGGAGCAAGATACAAGCTGGAGAACTGAAGCTATTCCCTGATGGAAACTCTCCTTCCCCAAAACAGCAACTTGAAAGCTGATTTCACTGCTCCCTGTGAAGTGGTAAAGGCTTTTTGTGCACAGGGGGCCCAGTTAGTCTTACCCAATACACCCTAAGGCAGAAGTCTAACTGGAAAAGAGACCAAAACTGAGCTAGATTCATGAGGGGAACAGAATTAGGGTCAGACACAACATAAGACTCTGCTGCAGAAGAGAATCATAAACTGGGTTGGGTTGGAAGAGACCTTCAAGATCATCCCATTCCATGGGCAGGGACACCTTTCACAAGACCAGGTTGCTCCAAGCCCCATCCAACTAGGCCTGGAACATTTCCAGTGATGGGGCAGCCACAGCTTCTCTGGACAACCTGTGCCAGTGTCTTCAGAAGCTGGAGATGAACAGGGAGCCTTACTGCTCCAGGGCAGATTGCCTCAATAAGTCTGATAAGCCCATGAGATGCAGCAGCTTCTGCCAATCACACTGACATCACTGGTGATACATTTCAGGTTTTCTAACCACAGCTGCCCCAAGCAGTAGTAGGCAATGGCAACTGAGCCATATCCTGTCTACAGATCAGTGTAGGCATAATGAGACATTAAAACAGTTAAGTCCCAACGTATAGACTTACTTACTCTTATCGGAAAATAATCCCTGAAGTACCTCCATATAGCCCAGTTTCTCACCCATTTGGACCTTCTTCCCCCTGAAGAGCAAAGAGAATCATATTTTCAGAGCTTTTTCCACATAGTTGCACATCAAAAAGCCTAGAGGACTCCAGAGAGTCTTCTGTCTCAGAAATCAGCACTTTCATTCCTGAGTGGGACATCTGCATCCTCTACTGAGATTAGGTGAAACCATCCATGCTCAGGACTTCAGGATACTTCAAGCTACTTAAGGCCTGACTTCAAATTCAGGGTAGAACCTGATTTGGTAATGAGTTGTACTTGGGCAATAGACAATTCAGGCTAGAAACACTGAGATTCATCATTTGGTAAAGGCCTAGATGATTTCAGTCACCTTGATGCAATGCACAACTGTGCTAATCTGGAATAAAAGAAGTTGTCATCATACCTTGTTGCCACTGCTGGTTCCCAGAGCTGGTTTCTACAGGGTTTTCTCTGAAATAAAGTCTTCTGCTTAATTTGCAGCAACGCTGACTCCAAAGAGTAGCCACATCTTACATATCATGTCAACCTGAACCTTGCAAGAGGTGGATAATATAGCAAGGTCTTGAATCTTTATGGAGATCTTTCTGACCTACAGAAAGAACCTGAGTCCTATAAATATGTTGCGAAAAGCCAGCAATGGCATGCGATTAATGAATGTCATCTTGTGTTGCCCTCAGCATCAACAAAACCTGCAGTCACTGCTCATATCCAGGGCTGACATTTGAATGCTTCACTGAATAATGCTTTTGGCTAGTGATTCAGACAAGAAGGGAAGTCACCCAGTAGAAGGAAGTGCTTCTCTGTCCAAATATGGAGCCAGGGACACTTGAACAGCAAGGATCTGGTCTGTAATGTTTACCTTTCTTTGGTGTATTCCAGTCAAATACCAGCCAGGCTAAATAGAGAGCAGCAATTGCCCAGCAATCTGTACACAGGATGTACATGAGGATTAAAGTGCAAGCAATACCTGCAGAGGGTGAAGAAGGACAAGAAAACAAGGTTGCATCAGGTTTTGGTCTACATTTATACCCCTCGCCTTTTAACCCTTCTATGCTAAAGTCTTAGTCTCAATCTGATGTCATTAATCCTTGATCCAATTGGATTTAGCTAAAAACCCCTCATGTAGCACTGAGGCAGCTTCCCCTAGAGCTTTGGAGTACCTCAACCTTCCCTTCATACGATCTCCAGGTAGGGCAGCTGCTTCACCAGCCAAGAGGAACTCAATGAGCACCAAGATTTCCGAGGCCCACACCAAGGGTTGGGTTTTCCTCACATCTCCCACACATTATACCAGCTCTGCACCAGCCATCCCAAGGATCCCACCCACAAACGATGTTGCCACTTAGCACAAACTAAGTTGGGAAGGAATAGTGAGACTGCCATCAGCATCTTTCTCCAGCTGAATTATCACCGAGAGCACAGAGTAGAGCAGCCTGAGGTTTCCCATAACCCAGAGACAGTCTTTACTGGTTTACTAGTCTAGCACAAGCACTTCTTGCCCATCTCTGGTTCCTCCAAGCCAAGAGCAACTCCCATTGCAATCACTTGCATCAGTTACCAGTTGCTTCTAAGAAATCTCTGTGGTTACTCCCATCAGTGAGCCAGGGAAGGGATTTCCAATTGCTCCACTCTTATTTGTATGGTAGACACAGACATGAGCTAAGCATCAGTCGGTCTTCCCATAGCTCCTATGATTTTCTAGAGCCAAGTCAAGTCATTTATTGTCAAGAATATCCAAGTATGTACCCATGGTTTACAATCTCCACACTCCCCAAGGGCTGCTCTCCTGCAGTGCACACCCAGTAATTAACTCTTAGGTAAAAGTTACCATTTTTGCATTCAAATTCCTCAAGAATCCAAGCCAAAAAAGTTTTGCTTTAGACTAAAAGGTGCTGCATACCCATGACAAGGAAAGTGAGAACCCATTGCAGCACAGAGATGATCTGGAGTTGTTTCTCTACTTTGGATTTGGAGAGCCAGAACAAATCCTGCAGAGCAGAAAGGATATTTGATCCTGTGCCTAAGGACAAAAACAACAAAAAAAATAGTTATATTTACACACTAAGCAAAGGGAGCAGTATTTTCCTTTCAAATAGAATCACAGAAGGAACGATCAAGTCCAGCTCATAAAATAGGAGGTTTTAGATCAAGGCTTGTCAAAGGCTACTATTTCCATCGAGTTTGGGCCTCCTGGAGGAAGAAGGGTGCCCAACTCCAGTATTCCCTCTTTTGGGAATACTGGAGGGAATTAATGGCAAACCTCACTCCTCACCTGAGCAATCCTCTGTTCACTTGACCCCATACAAGCCCAGAGGATGATAGCACAGAGTCCTAACTCATCTCCAACTATCAGTCCCTGGAAGTGGTGTGTGATAAGAGACAAACCCATGAGCTCACTCTCAGATAAAGATCAGCTGTCTCAAACCACAGGCTGCAGGCTGAGCTGTTGCTCACCCACCCTTCCTCAGGTCTGTTGCACAACTGCTATTGAAGTAAAGCTCTGTGCTCCAGCTTTAGCACAGCCCAAGGGCTGGTTGAGCAACACCTCAATCCACAATCCCAAGGATCCACAGCTCTGTGGGAAAGGAAAACTATCACAGCATTTCTAAAGCACTAAGTGAAGCAGAAACGAACTGAAAGCAACTCCTGTAGAATCTTAAGATATTCAAGTGTGGAGAAAATCAAGTGAAAAACTGAAGTGAAAGACTTGCTTTCTATATGAGGAACCACCCACTGCAGGTTTTGCCAATATGCTCCACAACCTCCAGAAAGAAGCACTTGCAAGTGGGTTTTCCTTCATTGCTTTATTTCACAAGCACCATAACTGGCTAAAATGCAAATCGAGCTCAAAGCAGGTGTATTTACATATTTCCTTTTCTTTAAGGATCAGCCTGTTATTAGGAGGAATACAAAAGGAGTTGTTACATTGAATGGGTTCATGCTGGCAAAACATGACCCTGCTAGTGGTGATGCCATAGCAAGTGCTCAAACTCAGGCAAGTGAAACTGATTGAAAATAGATTTTTCTCTAGAATTAAAGGATGTTTGGGGAGTTTTTACAAAGAAATTTCCACTGCCATCCTTTAAGTATGTGAAACATCTGTTTCATAGGAACTATGGTCAATTTAGATTAGATAAGGAAGTTTGACTCTGAGGGTGGTGAAACACTGGCACAAGTTACTCAGATCTGGTGGTAGATGCCCCATCCCTGGGGACATTCAAGGGGGAAGCCACACCAGAGGCTACAGCCTAAATTTGAGCTCAGCCCACTTAGCTCAGCCCCTGGGCTCTGCTTAATCCATGTGGAATGAACAATCCTAGCAATGGGCTGAGCATTAACTACTCCAAGCAGACCAAAATTTTAGGCAAGGATATATCATCTCACTGCAGTAAACTGAAACCTACAGCATTAATCCAGGTTGAAGCAGCAGCTAGAGTTGAAGGCAGTTCTTTGCAAGATAAAATACTTGCTGGATTCACTCTTAACACTGCACTATCTTCTCCTGTTTCTGAGAGGAGACAGGAGAATGCATTAAGTTAAACTGCCACCATGCACTGATTTGCCACACTAACATACCTAAGCACCAACACTCAGACGTCCCATACTGCAGCTCTTCACATTTAGCAGTAAATCCCCAAATATGGGGTGAGGGATGAACTCCAACCCATTTTTACAGAGTCATCTATCCAAAGATAAGAGAAATATCTAATTTGTAGAATAGCCAGAGTTGGAAGGGGCCTTTAAAGCTCATCTCATGCCATGGGCAGGGACACCTTCCACTAGACCAGGATGCCCAATTCCTGCCGAAGGCGGACATACTGTCCCAAAAACCTGTCTTACAAAATTGCATGTGGACAGACTCCATGTAGTCCTCAGACTACAAGTTTAAAGGAAGCTTTTAGCAATAGTGGTGTCACTGATCATATCTATGTCCTCAAAATAAGCCAAAAGCCTTAGAGATTATTTGTGATGCACAATAAAAGCCCAAGCTCATGTAATTATATCTTTCCAGCACCTGCACTTACACTACCAAAACATCTTTGGCTTGATACACCCAACACTCCAGCCTTGGCTCAGCTAAATCCCTATCCTCTTCCCAAAGGGAACAACTGTTTATTCCCTCCAGAAGAGAATTTGTGCTTCAGCATTTTCTAGATGCTTTATCAAATTCTAGGCATTGCCAGCCCTGTAAATAGAGAAGGATTGGGCAGCACAAGTCAACCTGTCAACTTGTTTTTCAAACCAAGTGAAGCTTTGTGTCAGCATTCATCTCCTGTGGACAAGGGGAAGGCCCTGGTTTGGCAGGCAGCTCTGAGCACCTGCCCTGGGACAAGTGGTGTCCTGGGTCAATTATTTGCTGAAAGCAAAAACTTCCTTCATGGAGAACAAGATTCTCTGCACCAGAAAAAACAGTAGTTACTAAGTCCTCACTAATATTAACATTTAATTCCCAGTTAAGGACATGAAAGAAGTTCAATGGCAATGGAAAGGATTGTGGGGATGGGCAGGAGTCACCTGGCAAGTACCTCAGGTTTACCTTTGCACCAAACCCGCACATTCCAGATTAACCAGTGCATCTGGTGGGAAATTACAGAGTCTAGCGCTGAGACAACCCTTTCCAGCCAGTCTTGAGCTCGTGTCAGACCTAACACTTGGTGTATTCAACCCTCCATGTAAGTCTTGCTTCCTTTCTTCCGCAGCTGGAGTAGCCAGGAGGCACCATCGGAAAGATCCTCCATGCTCTGGAGAACCAGAGCAGTTACTAGTGACACAGAGCAGAAGAGCTCTGACAAGTCGACAGCAATGTGGAGATTTTTGGCACTCAGAATTACCCAACAGATACTTGGTTTTGGTTAATTAGAGAAAACCCTTTTTTTTTTAAGGGCTCACCTGTGGGCCCACACCACATATTAAGACCCCAGAGGGGAAATAAACATAGGAAAGGCAAATTTTCCAACTTCCAGTAAAGATATTATCCTAGTAACTGAGTTTCACATGGTCCATTATATGTAACTATGGTTGAAGCAGAAGGGTCTTTTGTATCCATCAGTCTTTTCCCCAAGGAAATACTTTGAATCCTGAAGAAACCCAGACCTCCATCTTCTATTGCTGAAGACAGTTGCTTGTCTTGTGCTGGCCACACAGCACAGCCCGAGTGTTTTCTAGGGTACCTGTTCCAAGACTGGAAAGCCTAACTGGAGACCCTCCACTAGATGATCTTTAAAGTCCCTTCAAAACCAAGCCATTTCATGACTATTGGGGTCATAGTACAGACCTTACCAACAGCTTTCCTGGTCTCAGATGAGATCCTGAGCCCTACAGACCACAGGAGGACTGATGGGATACTCCCTGCACTAAGCCATGCATGGCTCTCAAGAATGCTCCTTGTCAAGCTGGACAGAGTAGCAACTTCTCCAGGATACCTCTGCAGCCTTCCAAGGAAGCTCAGTGCCATTATCCAGCTGTCCCCCAGCTGGTGACAGGCTCACTACAATCTTAATTCCTGCAAACATCATTTGCAGGAGTTGCTATCAAGGAGAACCTGGAGTCAGTGAAAGGTTTGACCAAGCAATTTGACTCATACCTACAACATGGCCTCAGCTAGGGATAGCATCTGCTGCTCTTCCAGCACAGTTTAGTTCAGATAAATTATTCAAACACCATGATTTATCCAGACAAGGAAACAGAATCAAAGATCCCAGGAGTGGAAATAAACAGGACTTCACACCTGGGCAGCACACAAAAAAACCCCAAACCAATCAACAGCACTTAATTAAAAAGCAGCCAAAAAATTAACTGAGAGGAAGTACAAGTGTTACAGTTAAAAATACACCAAAAGCTTGTTAAAGCCAAGCTTCATCTGCCACCTTTTCCAGGCAATTAGCATGTTAATTCTCAGCCAAGAATTAAACAGTATCACAGTTTATTTAGAAGAAAAGCAAATTAGATCCACCAAAGCATAAGGTGCAAATGGATGTTTTGAACTACATATTTGGCAGAGAAGCTGAAATTGGAGGCATAACAAAGCTAGATGAGATAAATACACCCATCCTAGGATACACAGGAGGACTCAGGCTCCCATGCAAGAGCAGGAAGTTGCTACAAAGGTAACACCTGTAAAGCCCCTTGAGCAACACAAGTTCTTCTGTGTCTTGGGTGTACTCCGATGCCCCAAGGACAGGTATATTTGCTAGACAGTGAATAATTTGTTAGAAAATAGTGAGTAATCAGTGTGAGATATAGTTATCCCGCCCTGAACACAGAGCAGTTTGGTGCTGTCCCAGGAAGCTATTCAATAATCCCATATTATCTAAAGCAAAGTGTCTACAACCAGAGGACAACAACATCCTTAACAGGGACATGCAACGACAACATTTCTATCAACCCTTTAGGAAAGAGCTGGGATTCTCCAAACCAAATAAACAAATCTGTTATGACATTTACCTCATGTTAGTTCTGCATTTACTTCCCGCACTGAACTTGGCCCTCAGCCTCAACACTCCCAGCTGTATGGAGAGGCAGCTAGTGCCACTGTGCTCCACAGCAGGTCACCCCCCCAGAGCAGAAGTGACATCTCCTGAACCACAGGTGCAGGACAAGACTAACTCCAAGGTAAAGCTAAGCAAAATCATCCTCCTCATCCCAAATTTGACAGATGAAGGAAGATTAGAACAGACACTTCAGCACAGGACAGCCCTTCCAGGCTCCAACCACACTGGTGTTCTTCCTTGGCAGAGGGAGATGAGCAACCTCCTTGCTTCTCTATCAAGCACAGGGAGAGCTCTCAAACAGCTGAAGTCAGGCAGGTCAAGATGATGAGACAACCCTCCTACCCAACCCAGGTGTCTCAGAGCATCATCTAAGCCTAGGTGTTGGTCTGAGATCTGCTCCAATTTTTGCAGCACTAGGTTGGTATCCAAGAAATTTCCCTGCATTAATACAGGGATGAACAGAAAGGTAGATGCCTGCACCTTTTTTTTTTTGCTTGTTTTTAAATAAATCAGACTTAATTCAAG